ATTGTTATAGTTATTCAGTAATTGTGCGATAGTACTTTTTGATTTTGTAACTTGGATCTTAACTTCATTAAAAACAATTATTTATGTATTAGAATGGTTCCCACGAATGGGATTGTGATACTCATAGATAAAATCCTGATGGTTGAAAGCAACAAGTTTGATCGACACTTATTTTATGCTACAGGGCCCGCAGATCTGATTGTGAAGGCCTCCAGGCAGATTTCTTTTGACCCTGGCCAACAAATGATGGCTGAAATGTGATTGGTTAAAATCTTTTAATATGAAATACAACGTCTGGATAGCAGCCCCAACCAGGGGAAAAGTTATAAAAGGAAGTGTTTTCATGGACAAAATATAATTATTTATATATTTTATATAATTTAATTATCAGTCTGTGATTCAGATATTTGTATAGGCCAGCAGAGAAGGCCTTTGCAGGCCTGATGGCCCACCACTGCATATAAAATGTAGTGGAGTAGAAAATAGAAAAATGGATGTAGATTAAAGGCACCCAAGTAAGCCTCAAAAATGATACTTATAATACAAATTAATTGAGTTAAATGTACTTAACTGTACTCCCAGTTGTATTTGATGTAATCAGAGATTAGCAATGCTGATATTTGTATTTAATGTAAATGCTACACAATGTTTCATTCATCATCTTTAAAGAGGCATTTTTTACTTCTTACCAGTTGCTTAACGCCCCTTAGCTAAACGCACCTGAAACCGACTTCCCCATTTATTCTTCTTATGGTAGTGCATAAACCACTATGTGATGTAATGCGCCCACGTCGCAGCGACTGCCGCCTTTGGCGCTGTAAACCGCCTAAAACTCCGTCTCAGTCCTCCCTCACAACTGTGGGCCAGTGAACACAGAAAGAGCCAGTACAATCGCGCAAAATACTCCTGACATTTGAGGTTGGAAAGACCTTTAAACAAGAATCCTTTATTTTGCCTGTGGCTTGTGAGCAGATTTGTTGGGTTTCCATCTTGTAGTTTGTGTATTTGAAGTTTGCATTCCAGCATATATGGCAAAATGTTACAATGTATGCAAGCATTGCAAAAACTTCGTCACCTTGCAAGCAGCTTTGGGTCGGGTCATCACCCTTCTCCCCATCGGTTTGAAAGGTTTTCGTTCTCCCCTCCAAACCGTAGCAAGGTGAGCCACAGCACTTTGCTGTCAGCTGTTTATCTGTCGAATTTAAGAGTCCTATGTGTATGAGAATGTGGGAATGACATTCAAGACGTTTATTTTATGTAGGTACGATTTGATGACCGCACTTAGTTCTGTAGTTATTTGCAATTTTAACTGCTCTAACCTCCAAAATCAGTTTCTGCCCAAGTTTCTGGTAGTGTAGTGGTTATCAACGTTCGGCCTCCACCACGGCCGAAAGGTCCCCGGTTCGAAAACGGGCAGGAAACATCCTTCTTTGCTTCTTTACTCTGACTATGGAATGCAAACCGTATACTCAATTATAACTGTGCTAAGTATCAAAACACAAACTGTACTCGTCAAACGATCAGACAAACTCAAGGTAAACCATTACCCTCAGCTTGATGCAAGCACAAGCTGAAATGGAGCTGGTTACTTTAACTTTTTTCTGTGAATATCGGCAAAGTGGTAGAAAATTAGAGTATGGGAATCGAACAACCCGTTCCTTCCTCGTGACAGGCGTAAGATACTGTCCACTATGTACTAACGAGGAGTGGTGCACTGCTGGGTTTAGCAGTTGACGCGACTGGTGGCGGCATCCCCGGTGTTGCCAGGGATATATGCAGAGAACATGCCAGGGAGGCCATTTAAGCCAACAAGGACGGAGACAGGCGTTTTTAGCTGATGTTAGGCTAGCGTCTCTCCGAGGATATGGTGCCCAGGAGGGTGATGGGCTGCGCTCTTCCTGAAATCCGCGCAACCATTCGCACTGTCTTCTGAGCGTGGAGCTCAAGTTGTTCCTGCGCGCACGCGAGGTGCACGCAAAAGAGTGGTCAAGCTCCGCACGCTGTGAAGCGTCCCTCATGCCGGCAACCACCGATGAGCCCAATGAGGGTTGGTGGTCATCGCAAACCCTTCAGAGGGCAAATTGACGATTGATGACATGGAGGTGGGGGCAGCTGTTTGGTTAACTGGGCCCAGAGGACAGAGGAGGGCGGAGGGGGAAAAGACGCAACCCCCCGAGGGAAAGCGTTTACTGTTGGATGGAGTCTCGGGGGATGATGTAAGAACTGCCGGCTTTGCTTATCAAATGCACAGCAGTAACTCCGTTCTGGGCCTTGCGCAAGTCGTTAGCGGGTTTGGGGTTTTAGGTTTGCACTTGGTCTCAGACCTCTCCGCAGACAGTTTCTCCGCTCTGCTGGTCGGAGCATGAATTGCACAAAGCCGTCTGTGTTTGGGAACTTCATGGATTTGGGGTTAGCTTTTGTCATAAGTCGGCAGAGGACGATGACTGCCGAGTCCGGGTTTTTTCGCTCCCGCAGCACAATATCTGCTAGGCGAGCTCGG